GAAAGAGGTGATGCCGGTTATCTTCAGATGGATTGCGCCCGTGAATCTTTCGCATTTGCAACATATAAACCAAAATCAAAAGGAAAGTTAAAAAGTTTGTTCATTCGTTATATAATAATGTTCAAAAATATGATAACTCAGTATGTGGTAAATATATTGACCCTTCAGAAGTTTTCAAGAAAGCAAATGAAGAAGTTGATATCACTTTTGATATGATTATTCCGGTAAATGATTTGTTAGCATTTCAGGCGTTCGATGATTATCCTAAATCATTTGGTGATATCATTCTTAAATATTATGTTTTCAGGGATACTTTAGTATTTTGTCAGGTTGACCCGTTAAGAGTTGCTGATTTACAAAATTACGTTTATGAAAAGATAACCGATGAAAATTATGAAAAGATTATGAATCATGTTTATAAATATGATCGCAAATTCCAACAAATCGGACTTCCTGCCAAATTAATTACAAGCTTAGCCGCTACATCTGCTGACGCAACAGTTGATGACGTTATTATTTCATGCACAAAGATGGAAGTTTTAGAGGATAAATGCATTACCAGGATACGGTTTAATTGAAGAATCAGTTAAAGCAATACCACGTTTATACAGTAAGATCCATTCATGATTCCAGCTCAACATATTGACGTTCGTTCACTAAATGGAGGTTGCATCACTCCTGAAGGTATCAGTTCAGATTTCTCATACGCTCTTCATAATGTTACAGATGTTGTGTTAACATTTCCGAAGAATGCAATGCAAAGAACAGTTTTAGAAAATCCAATGCTTCGAGGTCTTCAGGTCACTATAGATTCCAGAAACTTCCCCGATCAAGCGATGACCACAGTGGGCGACATATTCTTTACACGTATGCTTCAAGCTTCTGATTTAGATGGAGTGAATGAATGCACAGAAGAATACGAGGACTCATTAATAGACCCACTGAATGCAGATGATGGCACGCCATTAGCTAGAACATGGAAAGACCAAACTTCATTCTTATGCACTATTCCAGTTCAACGTGATGGAGCGGGTATATTCTTTGATGGATTAGAAACTTTCAACTCACAAGTTACAGTACAAGTGAAAGCTTATCCAATCATTCAGGGTGAAAATGACACTTACTGTTCAAAGGTGACAAATCCTCCTCAGGTTTGGTTTACTAGGACTACATATTGGACATGGACACCGGATGAAGGTTTGAAATATCATCCAACAGGTACACCACCACAGTATAGAAGTTCATATGATGAAATATTGATGAATAGAAATGTTTAAAATTATAAATTTATTTTTGATTAAATGGATTTAAATTCATACACTCCTTATGAAGAATTAGCAGGAGTATATAATACATACGTAGATGATATGATTAATGAAGCATTGAGTGATAATAGAAATGCTCTATCTAAGGAAAAATTAATGAAAATTCCATATTCTGAATGTTACTTAAATTCAATCACTGCAGCAATTGGTAAACAAAATAAAGGTAAAACATTAACGATATTAAAACAAATTATCATTATTGCTAACACTTCCCCCTATTCACATGTGTTAATTTATATCAACCGTTCAGGTTCACCTTCAGATGATACATTTGAATCTTTAAAGCATTTAATCAAAATTCCAATTATTTATTTATCACAAGAAGAAGCAGAAGATTATTTAAAAAACTTTTTAATGTATAAAGAATTATATAATACAATCAAGAAGCAAGGATTAGAGGATAAAATTATTGATAAACAACGGGATGAATTATTTGAAACACTTTCTATTTCAAATTTTGATAGAGAATTTTTGCATTCACTCATTTTTCTAGATGATGCAGTGAAATCAAAACTAATAACAAATGAGAAATCATATTTTAATCAGTTATTAACTCAATGTCGACACATTCAGTGTTCATTCTTTATGGCTGTTCAATATTTCAAAGCATTAAGCACAAACATTAAATCAAATCTATCAACACTTTTCATTTTCAGTGGGTTTAGTCGTCAACAGTTGAACGTTATGCTTTATCAAGTGAATTTACCAATGAGCATTAATGAACTTTACACACAATATCAGCAATTAGGTGAACATGGAAAAATAATAGTTGATTTAAATAAAGGAGTGTTAAATTTGATTAACTTTTTATAATTAATTTTTATTTTTTATTTATAATTAAACATGACAGAAATAGCAAATCTTCTACAGGTTCCATTAAAACAAGGAACAAACAAAAAGGGTGCATATAATAGAACTATGAAAGTTCCTGATGGAATGAAAGAATTAGTTCATATTGTTGCTGGTCTTCAAAAAGATGTTAAACAAATGAGAAACGTTTTAACATTACCAGAAGCTCAAGCATATGCCAAACGTCAAGGTCCAAATTGGGAAGCACACGAAGCAGACATTACGGGTCCAAATGGAAAACCTGATGGTATAAATGAAGTTTTCGTTACTGATGGTCAAGGTAATATTAAAGTCATAAATGGTTATAAATTAACTATAACTGATTATCCTAAACGTAAAGCATATAATGAACGTTATCCTATGCAATTTGATGAAAATGGAAAAGCTGTTAAACAATACATTGGAGAAGGTGAAAATGGTCCAATTAATTCATACCGTTATAATCCATATTCTTATTTCAATGAAGAATTAAATGCTATTGAAGAGGGACCGGATGGATTACCACGATATTCTAACCAGTTTGATGGTCAATATGCAAATATTAGACCTGAAATTTCAGCTAAGAAATTCTTTAAAGTTGCTTTATTCGATCCAGTTTTCGCAAATGTTAAAGATGAACTTAAACAGCAATTCCAACTAATTATAGTAGCAAGAATTGCATCAGGTGCTTTATCTCAAGCATTCAAAGATTTAATTAAGAAACCATTATATCAGCAATGAGGTTTAACTTATGATTTAGTTAAGGAATCAGATAAAAGAAAATTTGAGAAATCAGATGATTATAAGAATGCAATTAATGAATATATTAGGTCTATTAATTACAATGAACCAGCTAAAAATCAACTTCAAGAACAAATACAGGGAATAATAGATTCAAAACTTCCAGCAAAATAAAAGTTTAAATATATTTTTTTATTCGATTATAAATGAGAAGACGTTTCACTAGTCAAAAGAACACTAACGCAAAAGCAGAGATTACGGTTGGTTATAACGTAAATGATGATAAATCACGAATTATTCAAAATGTTAAAGTTAATGTTAGCCCTGAATTAACAAGGTCAGCAACTCAACCAAATTTATTAACTCGTGACTTACCGAAGAATGAGGAGAATGAAGAAAACCATGAGAATGGAGACCCAATCATTTTATCTGAACCCGGTAAAGAACCTGTTGAAATTCCCACTTATCCAACATACCCCCACCTCTTTCATCAAACATCGAGAACCCATATAAAATAGACATTAATTCTGAATTAATGAAAATTTACCGTGATATAATAATTAATAATTATAATTCAATAATAAATTTAATTGATCAATCCGGTTTAATTATTTTACCTTATGAATCATTAATTCACATTATCGCCATTCTTTGTGATGTTCAAGATTCAGACGTTAAGATTCAATTTTTCATAGATGATGAGGTTTCATGCTGCGGAACAGTTGCAAAAATAAATCCTATAAAGGATATTAGCACAATTAAGATATCAAAGAACGGAACAACAACTGAACTTCATTTAACATATAATGATATTTATAATAAAATAGTTGATGAATATAAAATATCACTTGAAAAATTCTTTGTTAAGGCTATTTAATATTCAAGTATTAACATTATCGAATAATAATCCTTTGAATCATAATCAATAATAATTGACCTTTCACCAGTTTCTATCGTTTGTTTTATTTCTTTTTGTTCCCCACTATCCGGATCGGTCATTGTAATTGTTTTTGTTATAGTATCAGCTTTATCTTTAACTTCAATCTTTTTTCCATCGGGATATTTAAACCAAAATTCCAAAAATTCGATATTGTCAATCTGTTCATATTTTAATCTATCAATTACATTTTTAATACCATCTGAAAATCTTATGAAATGGTCATTATATGGGTTTGATTGAACTAAATTTGAATGAAGTGAAATATAACCTGTTGATGAATATGACACTGACTCATATTTTCTGAAAACACTAAAATTTATAACATGAATGAATTTCTTATTCGTTGAATTTATGAATTCTTGAGGTAATCTTATTCTAGTTTTATTTATCACTGGAAAATAACGCTTTACCATATTTTTAATCGTAATAAAAAATGTCAATTATCAATATTATTTCGAATAATAACTGTGAATTAAATTTAACAGTTAGCGGAATTTATAATGTTACTCTCGTTTCTGTGAGTGGTAAATTTAATCCCATTCTTTTAGACCCTTCAGATTATATATCATTTATTAAAGATGACCTTGAAAAAACGTATGATATGTATATAAATAATGTGATCGCGAAAGGGGATATTAACATGATTTTAAGTTATTTAAATGAATCATTTATCGTATGGTATGAAGAAAATTTTAAATCAAAACCCGATAAACTTTTTGAACTTGATGAAATAAATAACCTTATTAAATTTCCGCTGAAAATTAAATTTTGTACTCCTCATCTTCGTTCATTGTTGGGGATATTAAATTTTGAAAAAGATGTTGGGGATGTTTTGTATTCTGACACTGGTTCCAATTTCATTTTAATCAAATGTGATAAAGTTAATACCCAATGAGATTTTCACATCAAACATTAGACCTAACTCTTACCCATCAATACAAAACATTTTATCCATCAACTTAAACACATTTTCTTTATCATATCCGTTTCAATTATCCGGGAATTCATTTATTCTTCATTCAAAAGATTTATCAAGTATTAAATTTAGAATAACTGACCTATTTGATTGTGATTTAGAATTTATGAATGAAATATTATGGCAATTTCAAATAGAGAAAATAGCTGATGAGATAACGGATTAAATATTTATTTTTAAATCGTAATAAATGATTAAACAACAGCAACTTAAGGCGCAAAGCGCCCAGGTCCTTCAGACCATTACATACGCCACATATGCATATAATTCAAAGACGGCAGAACAAACGCAAGGGTTGAAATATGGAGATTTGGAGATAGTATTGAAAAATGACCATTTCGAATTCGTTTGCAAAGGTGGTGCAGTGATATCAAATATAAAAGAAATTTTATTTATGAATTCAAAAATTAAAGGAATAACGGATGATATAACATCAATTCCACCAGAAGAACAGAGATATTACGCATTAAATGCATTTCCTAAAGTTTTGAAGATTGGAAGATTTAATTTAAATAAGGAATTCATAGAAGGTTTCCTAAATGACATAATGAAGAAGGTGGATAAGGAATATGTGGATAGTGAGTTAATGAAGAAAGCAGATAAGGAATATGTGGATAGTGAATTAAATAAGAAGGCAAATTTGGTTTATGTTGATGAAAAAGATAATGAAATTAAAGAAAAGGTTGAATGGTATCATGAATGGACATTGGAGACTTTTAAAGTTAAAGCTGATACAGAATGGGTTTCAGGATGTTTAGACCTTAAAGCAGATAAAACATATGTTGATGAAAAAGATAATGAAATTAAAGAAAAGGTTGAATGGTATCATGAATGGACATTGGAGACTTTTAAAGTTAAAGCTGATACAGAATGGGTTTCAGGATGTTTAGACCTTAAAGCAGATAAAACATATGTTAACAATGAGTTAGAGAAGAAAGCAGATAAGGAAAAAGTTATTTCATTCATTAATACTGAGTTAGCAAAGAAAGCTGATATATCATTTGTTAATGAAGAAATAAAACAATCAGAGGTCTATTTTACCCCACCATTTTTAAATTTTATGAAATCATCAGATAAAACCTTTGATATAGATTCTTTTGAATGGATATGTTTCGATGGAGTGACCACGTATTTATTTTATACAGCTGGAGTGCTTTATTATTTTAAAACAAATGATTTTAAAAACTATGAATCATTTACTCCATCTGTTTGGAATCCTGATACACGAAAGCCAATCATTAATCCAAGAATTTTATATGTTGAATATAATAACGGTAACGGTTGGAGATGATTTTTGCCCTTGTTATTCATTCGATTGTATCCAATGGTTCAAATGTAATTTAAATCAAGATGCTAAATTTAAATATCCAAATAATCCTATTAGATGCGTTAATAATAAATGGGTACTAATTTATGAAGTCAATCAAATTTTCATTAGTGAGGATGGGATAAATTATTATATGTTTAGTATGATGTCATCAGATTTGAAAATTGATTATACAAGTAAGTGGTATTACATTAACAACATGTATTTTATCCTACAAAATGATAAAATTTATAGATCATCTTCAATACCACAAGGTCAATTTGAATAAATTTTTCAAGCTGATGGAGACATTGAAGCTTTATGTTATGGATCAAATGTTTATGTTCTCGTTTCAGGTGGAATGGTCTATTCATATCCTGTAAGTTATAACAGACATATTTATTTATCACAGGATTTATCAAATTGGGAATTGGTTTATTCATTCACTCCAAAACTTACTCGAAATTATAGATTTACTAATTTATTTTATATTGATGGGTATTTCATTGCTTTTGGATGTGGTGATTTAGTAAATATCAGTAGTGATGGAAGAAATTGGTCTGAAATCACAAAATTTCAAGATGTTAGAAAAGCAATTTTCAAAAATAATACGTTAATATTGATAACAAGACCAGTTTTAAATACTCACCCAGTTTCAATATTATATAATAAATTCAATATTCATAATGGATTAAATACAATTCGTGAGATGATTTACCCCATTGGTTCAATATATACATCAATGAATTCAACAAATCCAGCAAGTGTTTTAGGTTTTGGTACGTGGCAACAAATAACCGATCGTTTCCTCTACTGTGCTAACTCTTCAAAGCAAACAGGTGGTTCAAAGAAAATTTTAGAAGCAAACTTACCTGCGCACACTCATACAGGAACTACAAACTTTTCTAGCGACCATATACACTCATTAAGAGACCACTCATTATACAACTCAGACTATGAAGCCGGTCATGATGTTTTATCTCCAGCTTATAACGATTCAACAAAAAAGACTTTTCGACCAACTGAACCAGGAGGAAATCATTCACACACTTTCACAACAAATCCAACAGGCTCGGGTGAAGATTATATGCCACCATTTATGACTGTATTCGCATGGTTCAGAGCTGCTTAAAGTCCTGAGCTCCAAAAGAGCGAACAACATGACATTTAGACAACAGGTACGAAAGGAGGAAGGCATTTATGAATTATTTTTGAAGAACTGATGGTGTCACCACGTCACCATGTCACCAGATTAATTAACTTCTCTTAAAATTACTGACAACATGACATTTTGACAACAGTCCAGGAAATTTGATGCAGTCCAAAAATAAAGTTAGTTTTAAAATTATTTTTATTTTTTTATTTTGTATGTAAGAACAGAAATGTCAGTCGAAGCAAAAACATTCACGAACAAATCTAATGGCGAAACATTCACAAAAGGCACTTATAATGGTATTGAAGTCTTACGTAGAGACAAGGATGGTTACATTAATGCAACAAAGATGGCAAGAGAAGCAGGAAAGTTAAACCATTTAAACAGATTTCTCAATAGTGCTAAAATGCAGGAAATTCTTGAGTTTTGGATGAAAGAATACGGTCAAGCCAAAAGTGGCTCGACCTCAAAACAAGCATTTTATGAGCTTACTAAGGGTGTTATAAATGAATTCAAAGGTATTTACATACATCCTGACCTCGTTCATTTTGTTGCTGAATGGTGCTCTGTAAAGTATGCATTTTATGTCAAAGATATTATGGACTCCATAGACAAGAAAGTTCATGAGAAATTAGATGAAGAAGAACTCGAAGATACAGTAGAGAATGCTAAACATTTGTTTGAAGAAGAAGTTAGAAAAATGCGCGAAAAACAATTAGAACATGAACGTGAGATATGTTATGGTTATAGAGATTCTCCATACGAACTAGACCAATGGGAACAAGAAGATTTAAAGAGAGAATTTAGAGAATATGAACTCGCTAAGATAGCATTAGAAACTGCAGAAAAGAAGTTAAAAGTTTGGGGTCGTTTTGTACAAAAATATTGTGAGTAAATGAACCATTTATTTTTGTCATAAACGACCAAAAATATATTTTATCGTTAATGGTTTTTAGGTGTCACCACGTCACCATGTGTCACCTGGTTAATTAACTTCTCTTAAAATTACTGACAACATGACATTTTGACAACAGTCCAGGAAATCAATTTTATCGTAAATGTTTACGTTAATGTTTCGTAAATGTTTTCATAAATGCCTTCCTCCTTTCGTACCTGTTGTCTAAATGTCATGTTGTCAGTAATTTTAAGAGAAGTTAATTAACCAGGTGACACATGGTGACGTAGTGACACCTTCAGTTATTCAAAAATAATTCATAAATGCCTTCCTCCTTTCGTACCTGTTGTCTAAATGTCATGCTGTCAGTAATTTTAAGAGAAGTTAATTAACCAGGTGACACATGGTGACGTGGTGACACCTTCAGTTATTCAAAAATAAATTTTCTTATCATTCAAATTAACTAAAGATGAACTTAATAAAATGATGATAAAATAACTGATAACAAAATTTTATTTTTATATAAATGGATACCCCACAAGCTCAAAATTTACCACGAATCATAACAAGGGAGGAAATGATAAAAATGATGCAAGAACAAATTAAAAACAACAAACCACGAAAACCGAGAAGATGCGGTTATGCAGTAATGATGGAAAGAAGAACCCAGAAGGGTTCGGCGTCTCGAAGAGACGTTGTCGAAGAGGAATAAAAATTAAATTTGGATAGAGTTTAAAAATTCATCTTTATTAAATTCATCTCTTCCAATCAATTTATTTATTTTATTAAATTCTTTTATTTTTGCTTCACTCAGTTTAAGGATTGAACGGTAAGTTTCTAATTTTTCGATTATTTCTTTCCTCTCTTTATCGTTTTCAGTTCCTTTAGTTTTATGGGCATCAGCCCCACCGCATTGCGGCTTCTTTTTGTAATAGCATATTTTTGATTTAATTCTGTTTAGTTTCTTTTTATATTCATTGTCTGGACTCTGAATCTTAATTGAATCAGGACTCTTGGCTGCTTTGTTGTCACTCATTTCTTACGAAAAAAAAAATTAAATATTATTTAAATATAATGGAGTAATAAAATAAATCGGAATTTCTATTAATTTATTGTCAACTTCAACTAATGCATTGCCGTTAATATATCTAACAAATTCAGCTATTGTGTCAAATCTTCGTCTTCTTTTTGTCATTGATTTATCAGTTTTTCCATAATCGAGATGAATCAAAACTTTATCCCCTTGTTTAAAATTCATGAGCCCGAATTAATTTGTTTCACGTTTAACATCATTTAACCTTTCCATTTGCTTTCTAATATATTCCCATTCTTTTGAAATATCATTTTTCATTTCCACTGGTTTCATGTTTATAGTTCTATGCCATGTATTATTGTAATAATATACTAACTGCTGTATGATGGAGTCATGATTTCCATCCCAGTATATCTGACCGTTAACCCCTAACGCATCTCTAAGAGTTCTCATTACCGCATCAACTATTTTATTATGAAACGTATATGGAGAGGATGAAAAGTAAAAATTAATTTGTGGGAAATAATGAATCATAGCTGCCTGAAATCCTTTATCACCATCACCCCTTATATTATCTACTCTTTCATGATCTAGTAAGTATTGTATAGCTCTTCTTGTTTCCTGTTCTGTTTTCCCTTTCACCGGAATGCAATATAAATATCTAGTGTTAATGTTAATGGCAAATAAATAAGTAACGTTTCCTTTTGAATATTCCAGATGATCGATTTCGTATAAATATGGATATGGGGCAAGTGAAGGGCGACTGAATTTTTCCTTTAATGTTTGAATTTTTGGGTCAGTTGGTTTATTTAATATAGGGTGTCCAAAGGTGTGTTTAGCACAAACCTGAATACTGCGAATAGAAATAAACATGTTACATATATATAAAGTTTATTTAAATATAATCACCATTGGATTCAATCACGCGTTCGCAGCGATCGATCCAGGCTTGAAAGACACGCTTTAAATCATCATGAGAAAATTGCTCAAATTGCTCTCTTACAAAATTTTCAAGATCATCTGGACTCGCGAATTCGCGTCCTTCAGCTCTCTTTTTTAGCGTGCCGAATAAATAAAAGTCAGAGGGTGCAATATCAGGTGAATAAATTGGGTTTGGAACAACTTTGACATTGTTTTCCAACAAGTAATATTTCATTACCTTAATGACTTTTGTGAACTCTTGAATTATCAAAATGAATTGCAAACTTTTGTTTTTGTTGTTTGGATTTCTCAAACTCATCAGAATTGATAATTTGAGTAAGAACATTGTCAATTAGATACTGAGCATTCATCGTATTAGGTTTTTGAAGAATATCAATTGCGATGATGCCATTCACGCCCCAAAAAACCGACAACATCATCATTGGTGTGTCAATTTTTTTCTTCGGGAATGTTTGCGGATTTTCATCCTTCGGGATCCACATGATTTTGGCTTCTGTTGCATATTGAAACCAAGACTCGTCCCCTGTTACTAAAAAGCGAAACTTCTTGGATTGATACGCACGCAATATAGAGAGGAGCTCTTTCGAAGATTGGACTCTAGATTTTTTTTGAACTGAATTAAGGTTGTGCGGAACCCAACGTGTATACGCTAGTTTGTAGTTCAAATAATTGTGCAGATAATAACTGACTGTTGTACGTGGTATCTTTGTCATCTCCTCTATCCTTCTGAGTGATGCTCTTGGGTCTTCATCTAGCGCTTGAAGAATTGCTTTGATTTTTCTTTGATCCGGCGATTTTTTGTCAATTTTTATGATGGGCGCCTTTTTGTTCATGAAGTGATACATCCTAACATGATACGTTACAGTGGAATAGCTAGGAGCATCCATACCGAAGCATTTTACCAATGTCTCGTAGATTTTTTACAGTCTTTGCATTTTTTTGCAAGAGCGAGGATGTTTTCTTTATGATTCATTAAAAAAATGAAAAAAATCCCGCCAAAATTTCCCGCGAAACCGCCTCTTGTCTCAAAATTCATTTTATATCCCGGCATGGCGCCAAAATACAACATACTCATCATATACATATATTCATATTTTTTATTATATATTTATAATCAGCATATATCTCCTTTAATAGTCTCATATAGAGCGCTGTGCTAAACGCACCTTTGGACACCCTATATCTTGAAATCCTTTTTAAAATCTTTTTGCTTCTTTAATGTTTGAAATGGATATAATAAAGTGAATGATGAAGGAATAACTGAAGGAGGAGGTACTGTCGTTGGAGGTTTTGGTATTGCAAGTGGTTTAATTTTATCTGCTTTGATTTTGGATGATGAAGTTTTAGTTGTTGATTTTCCTTTCATTAATTCTGGATGTATTCTATTCATTTGTTTTAAATATGCTGTATATAAAGGTTTGATATACTTTTCCGCTTCGAGTTTATGTTGAAGGATGAATTCCAAAAGTTGATCTTCATTTAAAAGTCGGGCTGAATATGGTTTAACTAATGAATCATAAATTAAAGCTTGTGCATCATTTATGGTCTGAAGGACCTGGGTGTTTTGCACCTTTAGCTGTTGAACATTTGCTACTTTCTCTTTTGGTGTTGTTTTCGGCTTTTTCTTCTTTGGCTTTTGTTCCTTTGGCTTTTGCGGCTCGGGATTATATAATTTATATAATTCATCAATATCTTCTTCTGTTAATACTTTATTTTTGAAATCTTTCAACTGTTTAAGTTGTGATTTAGTTTTTCCCTTTGTATATTCATTATTTTTAATTTTGTCTTTAATTTTAGAAATTATTTTATCATGATATTTCAAAATTTCATTTTTATAATACGGATAATAATAATCCATATCATCACCCGTTATATTTTTATTATGTTTTTGGAGATATGATTTTAATTCATAATATAGGGTGTCCAAAGGTGCGTTTAGCACAGCGCTCTATATGAGACTATTAAAGGAGATATATGCTGATTATAAATATATAATAAAAAATATGAATATATGTATATGATGAGTATGTTGTATTTTGGCGCCATGCCGGGATATAAAATGAATTTTGAGACAAGAGGCGGTTTCGCGGGAAATTTTGGCGGGATTTTTTTCATTTTTTTAATGAATCATAAAGAAAACATCCTCGCTCTTGCAAAAAAATGCAAAGACTGTAAAAAATCTACGAGACATTGGTAAAATGCTTCGGTATGGATGCTCCTAGCTATTCCACTGTAACGTATCATGTTAGGATGTATCACTTCATGAACAAAAAGGCGCCCATCATAAAAATTGACAAAAAATCGCCGGATCAAAGAAAAATCAAAGCAATTCTTCAAGCGCTAGATGAAGACCCAAGAGCATCACTCAGAAGGATAGAGGAGATGACAAAGATACCACGTACAACAGTCAGTTATTATCTGCACAATTATTTGAACTACAAACTAGCGTATACACGTTGGGTTCCGCACAACCTTAATTCAGTTCAAAAAAAATCTAGAGTCCAATCTTCGAAAGAGCTCCTCTCTATATTGCGTGCGTATCAATCCAAGAAGTTTCGCTTTTTAGTAACAGGGGACGAGTCTTGGTTTCAATATGCAACAGAAGCCAAAATCATGTGGATCCCGAAGGATGAAAATCCGCAAACATTCCCGAAGAAAAAAATTGACACACCAATGATGATGTTGTCGGTTTTTTGGGGCGTGAATGGCATCATCGCAATTGATATTCTTCAAAAACCTAATACGATGAATGCTCAGTATCTAATTGACAATGTTCTTACTCAAATTATCAATTCTGATGAGTTTGAGAAATCCAAACAACAAAAACAAAAGTTTGCAATTCATTTTGATAATTCAAGAGTTCACAAAAGTCATAAGGTAATGAATTACTTGTTGGAAAACAATGTCAAAGTTGTTCCAAACCCAATTTATTCACCTGATATTGCACCCTCTGACTTTTATTTATTCGGCACGCTAAAAAAGAGAGCTGAAGGACGCGAATTCGCGAGTCCAGATGATCTTGAAAATTTTGTAAGAGAGCAATTTGAGCAATTTTCTCATGATGATTTAAAGCGTGTCTTTCAAGCCTGGATCGATCGCTGCGAACGCGTGATTGAATCCAATGGTGATTATATTTAAATAAACTTTATATATATGTAACATGTTTATTTCTATTCGCAGTATTCAGGTTTGTGCTAAACACACCTTTGGACACCCTATAATTAAGAAAATTTTGATTAAGTACTAAATCATCAATTAAATTTTCTAAATATGCGTTATCCATTTATATAAAAATAAAATAAATGTTTTAAGGGTGCCCACCTCTTTGAATCATAGTATCAAAACCATTATTTACATATTGAATCGCATCATTAACGGTTCCTTTTGTCTCTTCTGTGGCATTTTATTAAAAATAAAATTTTAAATTGTATTAAATAAATGGCATACAACATCCATTTTCACAACATACAGCCTTAGTGTGTGCTCCTGTTAATGCAGTCTTACCGATTGTTAAGCGAGTCATTGACCCGTTTTTAAGTTGTAAATTAATATTCTGACCATCGAAAATAACTTTATCATTTATTATATCCAAATAATTTTTAGGTGTTAATTGTTTATTTTGCCTTAAACTAACACCTTTCATTTTTTGTGCAATCTTTTTAAAATCACTTCCATCAATTGAACCGTTGAATGATGTATAACACTTAGGGCATAAAGCAACCATGTTATCACCTTGTTTCTCAATTGCTAAACCCAATAATTTTTTCTCATGTGCTTTTTCTTCAGCTTTATTCTTTAATTTAGGTTTAAATTTCTCATCAAAACAGAAGAAATCAAAAGGTGCGAATTTGAAAATGTTTTTATCATAAAATTGTTTATCGGTAACAATTGCTTGAAATGCTTGAGTGTTAGGAAGATTTGGGTCGCCAGCGATTGCCCAATAAGATGAATCAGTATCACCTTCAATGAAATGAAAACGATTAACATCCATGCATTTATACATAAAATCATAAATGAAAACTAAATACCAGTATTTTGCGTTATCTAAAGTAAAAAATGCCTCTTGTAAACATGTATCACATCTATAAAATCTATCTTTAAGCATCACTTGATATGTATCTTCACCTATTTCTCTTATGTTTTTAAACTTATTTGACATACATGCAACGCGTGCCTTCTGTGCATTCATTATTTTAGTCTTTGCGTAATTTTGTGTATTCATTGCATCGTAACCATATGATCCATTAAGTGAAATCTTGCAAAATAAACTTTTTCCTTTATTTCCTTCTAATTCAGCCTTTTGTCTTTCGTTCATAAATTCGTTCGCAAATTCATTAAAACAAGTGTTTTTCGTAAATGTTAAAATTGATTGAATATCATCGATGATAAAATGAAATCTGTCTATTAGATACCAAAGATAATAAGAAGAAAATGGTTGATATTGGTTGTGTGTTGATGCTAACTGAGTTAATTTCCTCTGTTTCTGGTCAACTGGTAGATTGTTTGATTTCATGTAATTATACATAAAACTGCCAATTGTTTTTTCATCTGTGATAATATCTAAGTTTCTTATTATCGGTAAAAAGTTTATGTAATCATTAATGTATTTTTCATCAATGTGACCCTTTACTTCAGCCACGAATAAAGTATTTTTCTTCTTAATTATTCCCAGTGCTTTTGCTTTCTTTGTTGCTGTATCACAAATGATAACACCATTCAATCTTCCCGGCATATACATTTTATGGTCAGTATATTGAATGAAATCATGAGGATTAGATGAAAATGATGAAGGATATAATGAATTAAAATCAACACCAACGAAATGAGTCATGATGTTGGAAGTGTCCTCATTTGATACAGTTTTAGTTTCTGGATTATATGAAAGTTTATTAATGTGCGTGATTCCTTTAAGATTTACTCTATGTTGAACATTTGATAAACCACCAGTAATTCCATTATGGAGAATGTGATAAGCTTCAACTGAATCTAAAGTCATTGGTAAATTATTTTTTAATGCATAATTTCTTAAATTGATTCTTAAACGTTGAACATCTTCATCTTTATTTGATTTTACGACATTGCAATAACAACACATTAACTGACAATTTTCTTTGGTATGTGGTTTTTCATTATCTATTCTATCCAATGTTGGTTTATTTGCATATGTAAACGCTTTACCACACATTTTGCATTTAGATGAAAGGATTAAATCGTGATAGTATTGAAAATCATCCATTGAAACATTATTTTTAGTATCTCTTTCTGCTTTTTCATCTTGTTTCTTATATGATTCAATTTTATATTTCCAATACTTTTTCGTTAATTCAAAACTTGATTCTATCTCTTCCTCAGGATATTTTTCATTAGGATTAAAGTCTTTATATGCTAAAGCGTAACGAATCATTGAAGCATTCGATGATAAAGAAAGATTATGAAGCATGTCAATTTTATAAACAAATGTTTCTTCAATAATTTTATCAATTGGGTCAATCATAATTTCAACATCTTTATTGCAATAATGAATAAAATATTCTAATCTATTCTTAAAGTTTTTAGCATCATTGAGATATATTTGATAATCACTATCTGATATAGTTTCTTGAGTTAATGCTGAATAAAATGAATCTTTCGTGAATGGTTCCTCTTTATATAATTCTTCTTCGTAATTTTCCCACGTGATGAATTGATAAGGAAAAAAGGATTTAACACGTGATTTATTGTTTCCGAAATCTTGAGTGAATTGGTCTAATGTCCCACCCGCTATATAATTTCTGATGTCAATAAATCTCAATTCATATGGAGCGTTTGTTTTCTTTACAATGACTTGCTTAAATTGAGAAGAAGAACCCAGCATTGATTTTATTTTCCATTTTGCAGTGTTTAAATCACGAAGAATTAAATTTAAATCAAACTTTCCCGAATTAAAACCTATGATATTCACTTTATTGAATTCCTCATCTAGAAGTTCTTTAAATGCTTCCTTCTGTTTTTCATTTAATGTATGGGACAAAGTCCCCGCCGTTTGCGACTTCAATAATTCATTGTATTGACCCATATTTGATTCAACAACTAATGAACAGGTTGAAAATAAAAACTCAATCCAATCAGAAATAAAAGAATCACTCGAAGTTAAGCAAAAATTCCTCGTATATGTTTTATCGTTTAATTTAACCGTTGATGATACCATGAATGGTTTTAAGTAAGCATTCAAAGTTGCACACTCAGAAAGTTGTAATTCTTCTTTAGTCTCTAATGTTTCAAAGTCAAAAGTAATATAATATCTTGTCGGTTTATAATATTTCTGCAAATTGTGAGCTAATAACCACTGATATATCTTCTGTTTCGTAATATGTGGTGCATATGGTTGCTGGGTCTTTTGCAATTGAACGTCTTGAATTAATCTTCCATTATTTTCTTTACATTTCTCACAATGCTTTAAAAATCTTTTTGGTTTTTCCTTTCTGGATCATCACGGATAGAATAAACTTCTTCTTTACAATATGGACAAACTTTATAGCCGGTGAGTGCTTCAACGTCTGTTATTCTGTCAGCGTGAAGTTTTCCACATGGACTCTGTGTTAATAAAATATTTACTGTTTCAAATTCTGGATCTATCATTATTGATTCCACTAATGGAAAGTCTACCTTATTTATGTCCACGTCTTCTGTTGAGGATCACAATAAATAGAAATCAATATTAACATTTAACATTCTCGCTAATCTCTCACTTTCTGATGAAATTGTCAAACCCTTCATATGCATCTATTGCTTCATTTAAATAGCTTCTACGAGTTTTAGGATTAACACCATCAGGAATGTTATAGAAGCGTTTAAATAACCTTCTACCTTCTGCTCTAATTTGATTATCATTCATTTTAGCTGTTCCGTTTTGTTCATTTATTGTAAGAATAAAAAATTTAAAAATAAATAAAAATAAAGTTTATTTTTTAAAGCCCATAAAATGAATTAAGAACACATAAATTTTTATCATCTGCGACGTGACGAATACATTTTAATTTACTTAAGAATGCGTACCCTGATACATTAAATCTAATTCCTGTCTTATTTAATTTCACAACTTTGAAAAGGAATGTATGAATAGCTATGAAATGATGAGAAGATGTTTATGGGTTGCTTCCATTTTTCTGAAATAAATGAATAAATATAATGCTTATACGTTTTCATATCTTTTATTTCTTAATAACGAATGTATAGACCTTTCCACTTCATCTTCCTTCGGTGCTGTTCTTTCATATGAAACATTATTGGTATCTTCAATAATGAAACCACAATCACACAAAATTTTATATGTTCCAATGGTTTCTTTTGATATTTTATCTAATAAATCAAAAACTTTATCAACACCTGTGCATTTATTTAAATAATAATTTGTGTAAATATCATGATCTTCTTTCTTAATCGTATTAGTTGCATATGTCACGTTTTTTTTTTAGTGCTTTTTGAATTTTTCGGAATCTAAAGGTGGTGAAAGTAGGATACATGGGTATTCTTCATTATCAATAAAATTGTAACTTATGTTTACGAATAAATTTAGTACCTTCTTCTGAAAGTGTTTGTCTATTTTCACCATCTAATAAATTTTGTGTTGATTCTGAGACATAATTTTTATATCTTTTTCATGAGATTTCTGTACTTCTGATTCTGAAGCTGGGATATTCATTAAACCCTCTACTTCATTTTCATTATATTTTTTCAACTTCTCTTAATTCCTTAATTTTTTCATCTATTTCATCTCTTATTTTTTTCAGTCTTTCAATTTCATTGTATTCATCATCTTTAATCCGTTCTTCATAATATTCGGGGAAAACATCAGGTTCTTTAGGTTTTTCTTCTTCAGATGTAGGATATAAGAAATTTATAACATCATCTTTATTCATTTTTCCATCATAATCTAAATCATTTAATAACTCGGCAAATTTTTGACAATTTCTTAAATAATATTTACTAACTTCATAACACATCTCATCTAATATATCCTTTATTTCCTCGTTTGTGAATCCTAATTTTTTAACGTTGTTAGTTTTGACGCTCATTTCATACAAAATAAAAAATAAAATAATAAACATAACTAAGTTTTAATTTTTCGTAAGAAGTTTATTTTTTAAAAAATTTTTTTATTTCATTATGGTAGTGAATCTTTTATTCATGAAAATAATTATTTCTAATTTCTTTTACTCTCTCGTACATACTAGATTTAAAGAATTCAGAACATTTCCCATAATCTCCTAAATGTTTTCTTATCCCTAACGTGTGCCAGTTATTATATGAAACTGAATAAACTTTATCTTTATCTTTACACCTTTCATCACTTCCAATATATTTATATCTCAGTTTTGATTTAGCATTTTCATATTCATTAGCGTTTAATAATTCACAGTCTTCCTTTTTAAATTGATGTTTAAGATATTCAGGATTTAATACTCTACGTTTATATGCTCCTAACTTAGTTCTAAAGGTTTTTCTACAAAATTTAGGAATTCCATCCTCTTTAATGTCATCAATGATTTCCATTTCATTATTTTCAATTTCTTCTTCTCGTTTATGAGGTCTTTGATTATGACTCCATTGATTCCATGAAATTAAATATTCTTTATCATTATATTTATACCTCATTAGCTTATTTTGGCTTTCATATTCATTTAATAATTCACAATCTTCATTTTTAAATTGAGGTTTAACCCATTCAGGATTTAAACAATGTTTAATTAATCGCGGAATATCTGACATCATCTATATATAGCTTCTTTTATAAAAGATAAAAAAATAAATTATTTTAAAATTAATGTTAATTTTTTAATGATTTATAAATAAATATATTTTAATGCATAGTCTATATATAGATGTAACAAAAAAAGTCACAAAACCCGTCATATCCTACTACTTTTAGCACCTCCATTATGCAACCACATTATTCGTCGCAAATATGTTGCATGCTAAGATCAGTCAGAATGTAAACCTCTCAATTTTATTGTCGTGGGAAGTATCTCAATTCCTTCAAAAAAATTGAAAAATTATTTAATTTTAAAAATATAATACTTTTAATTAGTTAATTAATTGGAGATATTTTTTAAAAAATCACTTTTGATAATACTTTTGAGAACTTTAATTAAAAAAATATATTCAAAAATATCCAGGATATCAAGAGGGAATTGTTCCTTATGAGGTATATAGTTATGATGTATACCTCATAAGGAACAATTCCCTCCTTAAAACGAGAAATTTGTTCGAAATTTGTTTATCATTTCGAACAAGTTTTCTCGTTTTTAATAAAAACTAAAGGCTATGAGGCACTGATTATATATTAGTGCCTCACAGCCTTTAGTTTCTAATAGATAGCTGGGAAACTTTCTCCAAATGATAAGTTATTCAGAGAAAGTTTCCCAGCTATCAAGAGGGAATTGTTCCTTATGAGGTATATAGTTATGATGTATACCTCATAAGGAACAATTCCCTCCTTAAAATCGTAGACATTTTTATACTTATTAATCAACCATTCAAAATCATATTCCTCTGAAAAGTTATTTTATTAAAAATTTAGAATTTTAATAAATATAGAGTTTGAATTTCATACAATACCTATATATTTTCAATAATGGAATTTGAAAACCATTCTCAAAAAGTTCTCAGAAAACCTTTTTTTCATTAATTTTAAGAAATCTGAGTATTAAATTAAGTGATAAATTCGTTTGACACTACTTTAATTTTTAAATTCAAAAAATTATATGTGCTTCTTAAAATGACTCAAAAAAATTTTATTATAAAATAATATATAATATTAAAAATCCCACAACATTTTTTTACTTTACATAATCATACTTCCTCGACGATTAATTTCCACTCAATTTCTATCGTTGACCGAACTTAGCATGCAACAAATAAGTGTATTTACGCATATTATGATGCATATTCACACAACTCGTATACATGAAAAGTTATTAAAATCAGACAAAATTATTGCAATAAGGGAAAAAAAACAACTTTATTATATATGTTAGTAATGAATTACAAATATTTCTACAAAGAATGCTCAATACTTCATATAATCTTCGAATATTTCTTATTACAAGTTAATACATTTTGACTCGAACATGATAAACAAAAGCCGACATGCTGATTACTACATTTATGAAAATATAGTACGTTTCCATTCATCTGTTTACTTGTTTTTGTTGGAATAAAATCATTTTTTTTTTCTTTCATGAAATAAGAATTTTGCTGCGAAAGCAATATCTCTAACAATAATTAATACATTACGTCAACTCTGGAATGAGTATTTATCAAATATGATATCAAAATCAAAAATTAGTTGTTTTTTATGAGTAAAAACGATGTAAATTGATTATTTGACTAATTATCAAATACTTTGATTTTCCAAATTTTTTTCGAAATTGATTTTTCATGTGAAAATTCAGATTGTTTAATTTCATTTTTGAAATTTTGAATTTTTTTTGGAATTTTGAGTTGATCAATTCA